ACTCTTGACCTAATATCGTCGACACATAAACATGGGTTGGAGTCCATTAAAAGTGACTTTGAGACAAAATTCAAATCTTTACACGAGCAACTCAACGTAGTCAAAAATCAATTTGAATCCATAAGCAAACAAATTTTCACTGACAACAACAACAACATTGCGAAAGTGCTAAGTGAAATTAATATCCTAAAAGTGGCTGTTGCTAAACAACAAACTACAATGTAAATGCTTCTAAAAAGAAGTCGAATAGCCGCCCGCCTGCTGTTCAGAATACTTTTGTTGCGCCTGATGATGGCAATTATACCGCTATTACTGAAATGACTTTTACCGGCTCTTCACCATCCTCTTTAACATCATCTTCGCAGTCAGTTAGTGGTGCTAAGCATATCAACAATAACAATAGCGCATCAGTGAATGCTTTGCCTGCTGTTGGTGATGCTGCTAGTGGTGCAAAGCACAATAACAATAAAACTCATTGCTTGCCTGTGGCCCGCAATGTGTCAGTGAATGCTTCTTTGCCTATTGCTGCTGATGTTGGGTTTTTAAATTCATGCGATCCTGCTGCTACGTCTGGTTCGCTCATATCGCCGCTGCCTTCAAACGCTGTCACACAGTTTTCTACGGTTCCTACTTTGCCTATTCAATTTTTGCCTACTGCCAGTGATGCTAATTCTAATGCTATGCTCAATAATACTGAAACTCGTTGCTTGCCTGTAGCCCGTAATGTTTCAGTTAATGCTTCGTTGCCTAATGCTGGTGATGCTGTGTTTTCAAATTCATGCGATCCTGTTCCTACGTCTGGTTTGCTCACATCGCCGCTGCCTTCAAACGCTGTTACACAGCATTCTACGGATGGTTCTGAAAAGTATGAGTGGAAAACGGTACGCAACAAGAAATCAAATAGATATAAAAATATTGTTGTGGGCAGTAATACTAACTGCGACCTCGACGTTGTAATTAAAAAGAAGTGGTTACACATCTCTTCGTTCAAACCATCCGTGACTGAAGATAAAATAATTTCATATGTTGCTAATCAGTCAGGCGTTGACAGTCAACACCTGGCTTGCTACAAGCTGGTTAAAAAGGGTGCTTCTGTCGATAGTTTGCGTAGCCTTAACTTTAAATTTGGCGTTTCACCAGCATTCTACAACCAAATTGCGAATCCAGCGGTCTGGCCGACTAACATAAAAGTAAGACCGTTCCGCTTTTTTCAAAAACTGGACAACTCGGAAGCGAACCACTAGCCCAAATCGCAGCTGCAATGATAATAATCTGAAAATCTACTACCAAAATATATCTGGTATTCGAACTAAATGTGCAAAGGTTCGCATGTTAACTGCTCATTTGGAATATGACGTATACGTTTTTGTGGAATCATGGCTTAACGACAGCTTTTTTGATTGCGAAATCTTTGATTCTGACCTTTTCGACATTTTTCGCAAAGACCGTGATGCTGAGAAGACGGGATGTTCTAGAGGCGGTGGTGTTCTCATAGCGGCTCAACGGAGATTCAAAGCTTCACAAGTAACGCTCACCAATTCTGACTCGCTCCTTGATCAGCTTTGCGTCTGTATTCACAGCTCCTCCGGCGATATCCTTTACATATGTGCGTCATACATCCCGCCGAATAGCTCTGAAAGCCTT